TAGTGATACAAATAAAGTGAAACTGTCCTTTTTTCCATCTTTGATATGTCCACTCTTGGATATTTTTCTCCATTGGGTGTTGAAAACTCCCAATTGGATTTCGGGGCTCTTATAAAGGTATTCTCATCATTGGATAGTTGCCAAAAATTGGTGTTCCTGTTGGTAGATGAGAACTGGAAACCCATATTTTAGAAAATCCAAGTTTTCTTTATTTTTTCCTATGTATTGGTTTGGCCAGTTGATTATTTTTATTTTATTTTATAAAGCAAAACTATAAAATAACTATACATACAATGTAAAATATTCAAAAGATGTCAGGAGCTCAGGAAAGATAAATATGGATTTTGTGCTGATGCACTCAGTGGACCCTGTGGAGAAGAGTTCCTGTTTTGATAGGCAAATATGTAAAAGGTTGGGAATAGCTTGTGCTTGGGAAGGAGACATTTAGGCATGGACAATAGCACCTATGTAGAAAGAAACCAAAGGGTAGTTTACCTAAAAGTTTATGAGGGAAAAGAAATCCCTAAAATAATAATGTCTATGAAAGTGTTTCTGAATACTCTGAAATATTCAGTTATAATCAGCATATTCACTAAGAGAAATCCAGAAACAATAATTTGAGTATCTGATTCAGTATGTGTGTGTGTGTTTGTGTGTGTGTGTGTGCTTGTGGTGGAGAACAACTCAGAGATAATTCCCAAAAGAACTGGTTTTGAAAAAGAATAACTGTGTGGTGGAAGTTGTCCTGAGGCCTGGGTATTATCACTACTAACCCAGTCAGCCATGAGGTTCACTTTATAATATTCCTTGAAACTGGAAAATTCTTTCAAACTCAGAATTACAAATTGTTTTATTCTTTAAAAAATAATTATTTTATTTTATTTTATTTTATTTTATTTTATTTTATTTATTCATTCATTTTATTTTTTAGTTTGACCAGAGAGAGACAGAGGGTAAGAGTGAGAGAGAGCAGAATTGAGAAAGCAAGGCACCAGATTCAGGACTTGAACTCTGGTTGGCCATGTGGGAGTGTCCAGCGCCTTAACCACCACGCCACCTGCTGGTCCCACAAATTATTTTATCTTGATATTGGTTGGACACTGGAAATACTGGTTCAAACTGAACAAAGTTTAATGTGCTAATAGATGATAAACAATGCAGTTGTAGAGGGATGTTCATTGCTTATTTCTAGTAGATTCTTCTAGAGGTGGCATTCTAGGCAACCAAATCCTAATTTTGTAGTTTTTGAAAATTCTTGGATCAAAAAATAGGGTCAAGTATATAATAGCATCAGTAAATTAATGAACCTAAAATAGTCTTTTGCATGTATCTTCATAGTGAAAAATAATGGCTATATGGATTAAACTTTATCCTAGGGCTTCATCCACCCACAGTAGTCAAAACAATGCCTTAGAGATTCACTGTTTTCTGCTTTTACAACTGAAAAATGTCCTCTTCCAGGTGGCAAGTTTCCTCTTCAAAGATGTTAACACCTTTTATTTTTTTATTTCAATTTATTCATTCACTGTAAATCATTACAGCATACAAAATGAGATTTTCCATCCAGAGTACACTGTATATTGTCTCAATCAAGCACAACAACAAACATGTTATTGTCAGCAAATGATCTTCCATTTCTTGCTTTCTGTATGTTTTGCTTTTTTACCCCATCCTTGATTCCCTATCTCTTACCTTCTGCCATCTCCCACTCTCCTCCCATACTGTCTCTGGTATCTATGTTAGCTTTCTATACTGTTTTTCCCCCACATTTTATTGAATCACCAAAGACCCTAATCAATCCAAATACCCTCATAGCAAACACAGGTGACACACACATTTCCATGAACACAAGTCTAACTTTACGCATCCTATAAAGTAGCACCTAGCTGGGGCTACATATCATACTGCAGTCATTGAATAGATATAT